CAGAATTCTGCACCTAGCCATTGCATATAGATGTCTCAGGTTGACCTGGAGGTGGTGCTATTTGCATGTGGTCAGTTGGGCTAATAATTTAAGATGGAAACAAGGGTGTAAGGAACTCTGGTGGTGCGGCGCTTAAATGCTCAGCTGTTGAACAAAATGTTAACCAGCTGCTCCAAAGGAGAAAGATGTGGCAGTCAGCCTCCAAAAAGATTTACAGGCAGGGAAACACCACCGGGCAGTTCTACTCTGTCCTAGAGGGTTGCTGTGAACTAGAAAGGACTGGACAGAACATGCTAGTTAGCTACCAAGAATGTAGCTTGTGGACAACAGGATTAAAATCCTGAACAACATCTATCTTTGCACCCGGAGTAATTTAAAGGACTCATTAGTGAAAAATAGGTGAATTTTAAATAACCTTTGAGAGTAAAGAGGCCTTGGTAAAAATGACACAAAGCTCTGACGTCCTAACAAGACAAGATTGACACATTAGACTGCATAAAAATGTGCAATGCTTATTTTGGGGGAAACAAAACCCCACCACCATAAACTACAGCAAAAAACAAACAAAAATTGAGGGAAATAATAGCCACCCACCTGACAAAGAGATAATTTTTCTTTCCCGTAAGACACAAGAAACACAGGAAAAATGAATCCAAAAGGAAATTGGGAAACGGATATAAACAGTTCATAGAAAATGAGACTGATGTCACCAGTAATATAAGAAAACTTTAAACCCCAAATGTAGTCTAATAAGTTCCAGCAAGTTATGGTTCCATAAACATGCACATCTGTCGGGTCACAGACCTTTTAAAGTGTCTTTTTCTTCCTTCCTAGATTTCCGCCATGGGCTTCTAGGCAGTTAGTTTCTCTCCTGTTTGCATCAGCGTAGACGCAGCTGTTTCGCCAGAGCAGCCAACCGCGGGACTGGACGGATGAGATCGAATCTCCACTCCTCCCACACTGCTGAGCAATCCTTGATAAGAACTGAACTGAAGATGTGGAGCTGCGCCGGGAGGCGACGTGGGAGTTGGAGGAGATAGAAGAGGCGGGACAGGGCAAGCACTACATTCAAGAACCCATGGCTGTGTGAAGGACGCATGCAAGTGTTTATTTACAAATTGGAAGGGGACACGCCTGACTAGGGCGAAGAGGATTTTCTCTTGCGAAGATCCCCCTCCTGCCCAGGGACTACGTTCAGCCATCGAGGAATCCCAAAACATTATTTATCACAACAGGCATGTTCACAGCTGAGAAACTCTTTGACTCTGTCAACCAAATTTTTACTTTTTACAGAAAAAGACCCAGGCCTCAGAGAAGTGAAATGATGTGACTCCAGTCACAGCCAGGGCCACGACTGAGGCGCTCACAGCCACCGGGCGGGCGACCACCCAAGCGTTCAGCTCCCAGGACTGCGGTCCGGTTCGCCCTAGGGGGGGACTACATTTCCCACAATGCCTCCGGCCCCGCCCGCCCCCGCCGCCGGCCGGGCACGCTATCCGCCAGTAGGAAAGCAGGAGTTCCAGGGCCCGACCTGGGCGACCAATGAGCGCGGCGGTGGGCGGATCCCGCTCGTCCATTGTTCTGGGCGCCCCACGGGCTGGAGCCAGGGTGAATCCCGAGGGGCCGGGTCGTGCCCGGGGGCGCTTCGGATCACGGAGCAGCCGCCGGAACAGGATCTACCCCGTGGAGAGGTGAGCCCTGAGGAACAGGCCGCGAGCCGCGCGGGCCCATGGCAGGAGCCCGAGGCGAGGGAATAACGGGCCTGAAGCCAGCTGCTGGGGGAGGGGCGTCGGGGGCGCTGTCCGCGGACGGTGACCGCCCCGCCGTGCGCGACCGCCGGCTCCGCGCAGCCTCGGGACTCGGCTCTTCCCGGGAGAGAGCTCCACGCAAAGCCAACCTGGAGGATCGGAAGGGACTTCCGACGACGCTCGGCACACATAGGGAAACTGAGGTTCAGAGGGGGCGTGAGAAGCCCCGGGTCTGACAGAATTACTAGCGGAATAGGAACAGTTTTCCCCGGATCCCGAATATGAGTTCTGTTATGCCTGCGCTTCTAAAATTACACGTTAGAGAGCTTCGGTTTTCCCTCGAATTCTTCCCAACCCCACCCCACCCCCCTTTTCTTTTTGGATGGCTGCCTCTAAGTGGTTTTGATGTAATGATGGATTTTAAAATAATCTTTCATTGCCTTTCTCATGTTTATATAATAATCATCTGTAATTTCTTCACTTTCAACATTTTATAGAGCCCAGGTTTCTTTCTCCTCTTTGTATGGATATTCATTTTTTAAAGAGAATTGGGGTCCAACATTGTCTATTTTTTTCTGTTATGTGCTGGTTTTGTTTTTATCTGTTTACACTCTTTTTCGGTATAATTTTAAGAGGTCTTCTTAAATACCCACACTCTAGTGCACACAAATCTTAGATACCATGTGTATGTCCTGTGTAATCGGTGCCAAATCAAGACACAGAAACTGCCCAGCCCCTCAGAAGACTTCTTTGATTCCCTTCTGAATCAGCATTCCCCAAAGATAGCCATGATTATTCCAGCATAGTTTAAAAATACATTTTACATTTAAAATACATTTCTAGCCTGGCTGTGCTATAATTTCTTAAGCACTCTCCTGCAGCTGAATTTCTCTGCTGCTTTTTAGCAGTGGAAAACCTTGCTAATGTCCTTGCAAATAAACTTCGGTTTGCAAAGATGGTTATTTTTAAAGACAACTTTCTGAGGGGTCAAGTCAGGACCCAAGAGGGTAGGTAAACAGTTTCGAAACTTCATGCCTTAACATATAGTAATAGTGTGATTGAGACATAGCCTTTCTTTCAATGAGGCTCAAAGTGCCTGGCCATCTGATCTATTGCTAATCTGCGGGATGTCTCAGTCAGATAACAAGGAGGGGTGTTATTATCTGGACTTAGGTGGTCACTGTGGTTGAGTGGAAGTTGTATGTCAGGTCAAAGGCCCTCACTCTGTGGCAAATGTGAGCTGGCTAGGGACAGGGTAACTCAGCCCTCATTCCTGTGAGGGCTCTGCATTTCTGATACTTATTCTTTGATCTTTTGAAAAGGAAAATTCCTGTGCTTTTGTGTTATTTCTTCTTTTGCCACAGAGAGATGTTTTCAGCTATAGCTGTTTTTCTTTTAAGAGGGACAGGAAACTTCTGATGGTTTGACCACGTGAGAACCACTTGGTCTGCAAGTAGGCTGCTGTGTTGGGAGTTAGATCGTTTTAAGGTAGTCGACTGACTCACTGCCTCAAATTCTCTTCCTAGGTTCTCAGCAGGACTACTGGTTGACATTTGAGGAGGGAAACAGTTACAGAAGACTGAGGTTCAAGGCTGGAAGCCCACGTGATTGCCCCAAGAGCTTTGATGATGGCTGCAGAGGTTCCGAGAGTAACCAACCCCCTGAGCCCCTTGGTGGAGGTGCCTCAAGGGGAAGAGGAACAGGAGGAGGTCACCACCATGATCCTGGAAGAAGACTCCTGGGTGCAGGAAGCTGTGCTGCAGGAGGACGGCCCTGAGTCTGACAAGGGCAGCCCCCAGGAGGTGGCTGGGGGGCCCCAGGGTGCACTCAGCCGCCTTCGAGAGCTCTGTAGACGCTGGCTGAGGTCAGAGGTGCACACCAAGGAGCAGATGCTGACGGTCCTGCCAAGGGAAATTCAGGCCTGGCTGCAAGAACATCGGCCAGAAAGCAGCGAGGAGGCAGTGGCGCTGATGGAAGACTTGACCCAGACTCTTCAAGACAGTGGTGAGATGCACAACCTCATCCGGAGAGGGTGGGGGCAGAATTCTGAAAGGGAGGCATAGGATGTTTTTAGCTGGGCTCCAGCACAGTGGTGGCAGATCCAGCCCTGTCTCCCTGTTGTCATCCTGGTGGCAGCTCGACTCTGGGACAAGTCTGCAGGCAGTAAGCACGTTTGTCATATTTTAATATGTGCAGAGACAGCTCTACAGTTTCCATTCAGGAGGGACTTCAAGGACTAGCCTTGAAGCTGCATTTGCATAGTAAATACAAACCAAACTGACTGCCATCAAGTTGATGCTGACTCATAGCAACCCTATAGGACCGGGTAGAACTGCTCCCTGTGAGTTTCTGAGACTGTAACTCTTTATAGGAGTAGAAAGCTCCATCCATTCTCCCTCGGAACTGCTGATGGTTTTGAACTGCTGACCTTTTGGTTAGCAGTCCAGTGCATAACCACTATGCTGCTAGGACTCCTTAAAGTAAACACACTTTTGTTTATTTTGTATGTTTATTTAGGAAGATTGGGAAACTGATGGAGGTTATGGGGAGAGATGCTTCACCCATCTTCACTCAGTTGTGTGAGAAACATTCAAATATTACAAGTTCCAGCAACTAGCAAGCCCAAATCATTGGATAGTTTTAAGGTGATTTTAAATTTTTTTAAGTGAAACCTTTATAAGTGGTAGTATAAACCTGGTAGTATAAATGGTAGTATAAGTAACTGGGTCCTTTCTGTGGTATAAAGTTATGCTGGGCTCTTAAAAGAATAATTTAAAACCTGAGCTCTTTGCAACAGGTGATAAATTTGTCTCTTGTAGCACTCATTAGTTCTGGGGTCCAAGCCCACCACGTAACTACTCCTCATCTCCCTCTGGTCTTCAGTTGTGAACACTTGATTCCCAAATGTTGATTTCAGTTCTGCCTGACATGGGCCATGGCTGCCTCTGTGCTGAGGAGGACTGCAGGGAAAGGAGCACTGTGGAGAGGAGAGGGCGGTTGGAGGAAGCTTCATAAGGACAGGAAGCTGGAGGTTGAGGTTGCAGGATGGAGTAGAATTTGGAAAGGTGCAGGGCAAGGAAGGGGACATAGTAAGCGGAGAGTAGCTGTGCTAAGCAAAGGCTCGTGTCGCTTATTTCTTCAGGTGACAGGGAGGAGGCTGCCTGACTGGAAAGTGTGTTTTTGGAAAGTGGTCGGAAGTGGAGTTTGGAGGAAGGGTGGAGGGAGCCTTGGACAGAATGCCATTGGCCTCAGGAGGTTCTTGAACTAGGGCTCCAGGGGCACAGGAGGAAGCTGAGTGTGCTAACAGGATGTAGGTTTGATTAGGGAGGGGCTAAAGGCAGGAGAGCAGCCAGGAAGCCACCAGTTATCTGGGTATGCAGTGATGAGGTTGGGTCAAAATGAGGGACAGGGGAAGAGGAGGAGATTGGTTGTGTCTGAGGAAGGATTAATGGAAATGAAATTTAGCAAGCTCTCTGTGGGCCAGACTGCGTGCTTAGCATCAAATCTATACAGCTCAGTCAGCTTCACCAACTGGGGAGTTAGCAGGTTATTATCACCAGAAGCAGCTCCTTTAAAATTGTGCCATCTGCGTGAGGCAGAACAGATCCAGATTTGAACGTGTATCTGAAGACATGGCCCATGTTCTTAAGCATGTCATCACATGTTTGATGCTCACCAGTGGAGTCCTAGAAGGAGGGGACAAGGATGAAAACAGGCGACTGAGAGGCATCTAACCCATCACTACAGAGCCAATTTTGACTCATACTGACCTTTTCCGGGGTTGCTGAGGCTAATAGTCTTTACGGGAGCAGCTAGCGGTCTCTTTCTCTTTCGGAGTGGGTGATGGGTTTGAACCACTGACCCGGTGGTTAGCAGTCTAACACTACTTAACAGCAAGAGGCATCTATCTGGGCTGGAAGATTTGGAAGACTGGGGATGGGAGGGAAGGGAACAGAAGAGAAGGGAAGGTGGCTTGAGGGCAGAGAGTATAACAACCCCCAAGGACCAGGAAAGAGGAGTACAGCTCGGGAAAAGCACGGATCTCCGTGAGCCCAGACCTGGGCCCGACTCCTTACTCGCCCGTCGCACTAATGGTCCTGGGAGACGGGGAGGTTGTCATGTTACTGACGAGGAAATGGAAGTTCAGCAAAGTTGAGTCCTTACTCAAGGTCACACAGTTGGTAAGGAGTGCAGTTATGATGATGGTTGGTAGATCCTAGGTTTTATTTGAAGCAAAGCACCTGATTCACAACAATAAGGAGCTGTGGTGGCACTGCCCAGTGAACACTGGACTGCTAGCCACGGCTCGGCAGTTGGAAACCACCTGCTATTCCACGGGAGAGAGATGCAGCTGTCTGTTCCTGTAAAGATTTACAGCCTCGTAAACCCTGCACAGTGTGCTGTGCACTCAAAGCACCTCAATGGCAGTGGGTTTGGATTTGGTATTAAAGAAAATAACAAATGCTCTCATTCTGTTTTAAAATGTTGTTGTTGTTGGGTTTTGGGTTTTGTTGTTTTTGCCTCTGGATGGATAAGACAAGCTTGTAATGGATTCCCCAGAGCTGTCAGCAGATCCTACAGCGCCAGGTGGAGGGCTGAGAAGAGACCCTGGTTGCTATTTAATTGGAGAGTCGGGTCTTAACTGAGTAATGGCAGACACCCCCGGCAGCTAACCTTCCCACTGGCTCACGGCAGGGCCTTTGTGCCTTCACCTCTTTTTTCTAAATTGTGTTTGTTATTGAAAATGCCCACAGCAAAATATATGCCAATTCTAATTTCTATATAAACAATTTAGCGAGGACGTCTTCAAGTTGTGCAACCATTCACACCCACTTTTACCGAACTATTCTCCCACCACGAACATGAACTCACTGCCCTCTACGCTGCCGCTTCACTTTTTGAGTTGCTGTTGTCAGTTTGATCCCATCTAGATAGTTCTTTAAAAATACAGTGCTCAAGGCAGACTTCCTTATCAATGAAGCCAAACTTGTTTGGCTTCAGGGTATGTGCTTGGTTTCAGGGTTTTGTTGTTGTTTTGGCATTTTAATTGTGACTTAGGTGATGCTTAATGTTAAGCACTATCTCAGGACAGTCGTTTCAGGGGGTTATTTATCCTCAGTGGGCTGCATAAGTCTGGATTCCATGAGAATTTGAAATTTTGTTTTGTACTCTTTTTGACCAGAATTCTCCTGTGGATCTTTGATCAAAATATTCAGTAATGATGGTTACCTGAGATGGGGATGTCCCAGATAAGTGGGTTTGTCAGTCCTTTGACTTCTGTCTTTTGAATTATCTGTGTTAGTCTTCATGGTTGCTTAACAAATGCCCCTCAGGGCTTCAATTGCTTCTTAATGGTTCAGTCTTTGCCCACAGAAACAAGGGCAATGTACAAGTTGCATAGCAACTGAATCTCTTATGTGTGTCAGATTTTAAGCAGTGTAGGACACAGACAACGTTGCCCTGCTCAAAGATGGCAGCTGACTGTGCTGTGACACACATTCAGCTTTCAAAATAACACAATTGGCCACCATCTTTGAGCAGGGCACCTCTGCCTCTTTCCTCCCAAACACCCAGACTCGCTGCCATCGCCTTAATTCTGACATTGCGACTTAATGGTCAGGATAGAACTGTTCTTGTTGCTTTTTTTTTTTTTAATCATCTTATTGGGGGCTCTTACAGTTCTCGTCACAAGCCATCCATCCATCCATTGTGTCAAGCACATTTGTACATTTGTTGCCATCATCATTCTCAAAAAATTTGCTTTCTACTTGAGCCCTTGGTATCAGCTCATTTCCCCCCCCCCTCCCTCCTGGCTGCCCCCTCCCTCATGAACCCTTGATAATTTATAAATTACTATTATTTTGTCATGTCTTACACTGTCCGACATCTCCCTTCACCCACTTTTCTGTTGTCCATCCCCTAGAGAGGAGGTTTTATGTAGATCCTTGTAATCGGTTCCCCCTTTACCCCACCTTCCCTCCACCCTCTGGTATTGCCACTCTCACCACTGGTCCTGAAGGGAGCATCTGTCTTGGATTCCCTGTATTTCTAGTTCCTATCTGTACCAGTGTACATCCTCTGGTCTAGCCAGACTTGTAAGGTAGAATTGGGATCATGATGTGGGTGGGGGGGAAGCATTAAAGAACTAGAGGAAAGTTGTATGTTTCATCATTGCTACACTGCACCCTGACTGGCTCGTCTCCTCCACATGACCCTTCTGTAAGGGGCTGTCCAGTTGCCTACAGATGGGCTTTAGGTCCCCAATCTGCACCCCTCCTCATTCACAATGATATGATTTTTGTTCCTTGATGTCTGATACCTGATCCCTTCAGCAAACAAGCGGCCATCTAGCTCAGAAGCAACAAAGCCCACATGGAAGAAGCACTGTGTGATCCTGTTGCTTTTCGAGACTATAACTCTTTTCAGAAGTAGAACAATTATCTCTCTCTGAGTGACTGGTGGTTTTGAACTGCATACCTTGTGGTTAACAGTCCCAATACATAATCACTATGCCACCAGGACTCCCCAACCTGTTTTCTACTCATGCCAAAATCTAACAAGAGGTTTGATTGCTGTGCAATGTGTAGACCACTCTTGTTTCTGTCTGCCATGACTGAACTATTTTGAACCAATCTAAAGCCCTAAGGCCTTCCTCCTATGCACCTGGGGTCCTCTGAGTTATTTTGTCCCTCTCAGACATTTCTCAATAAGAGACCCTTGATGACCTCTATTCTGTTTGTTCAGCTTGGGTTTTTGACACATTTATCATTATGGAACTTTTCAAGGCCTGCTTGTTTAATGTTTGACTAGCAAGCACCCCTAGTTGCTCACATTTAAAGAATTATTCCCTTTAATGAACTGTGTGCAAATGAGATATTTCCAAAGATTCCACAAGAAAACTACTAGAGCTAATAGAAGAATCTAGCAAAGTTATAACAAGGTAGAAGTTCAACAAGCAATCAGATGGGTTTCTATACACCAACACTGAGAAATCTAAACAGGAA